CTAAATACTGCTAATGCTACATACTGCTAATGCTAGATACTGCTAATGCTACATACTGCTAATGCTACATACTGCTAATGCTAAATACTGCTAATGCTAGATACTGCTAATGCTAAATACTGCTAATGCTACATACTGCTAATGCTACATACTGCTAATGCTACATACTGCTAATGCTACATACTGCTAATGCTAAATACTGCTAATGCTAAATACTGCTAATGCTTAATACAGCTAATGCTAAATACTGCTAATGCTACATACTGCTAATGCTACATACTGCTAATGCTAAATACTGCTAATGCTACATACTGCTAACGCTACATACTGCTAATGCTAAATACTGCTAATGCTACATACTGCTAATGCTACATACTGCTAATGCTAAATACTGCTAATGCTAAATACTGCTAATGCTACATACTGCTAATGCTACATACTGCTAATGCTACATACTGCTAATGCTACATACTGCTAATGCTACATACTGCTAATGCTAAATACTGCTAATGCTACATACTGCTAATGCTAGATACTGCTAATGCTAGATACTGCTAATGCTACATACTGCTAATGCTAAATACTGCTAATGCTGCAGCTATACTGCTGCAATGCTAATACTGCTAATGCTACATACTGCTAATGCTACATACTGCTAATGCTACTATACTGCTAATGCTACATACTGCTACATGCTAGATACTGCTAATGCTAAATACTGCTAATGCTACATACTGCTAATGCTAAATACTGCTAATGCTACATACAGCTGATGCTACATACTGCTAATGCTACATACTGCTAATGCTAAATATAGTTGATGCTACATACTGTTAATGCTAAATACTGCTAATGCTACATACTGCTAATGCTACATACTGCTAATGCTACATACTGCTGATGCTACATACTGCTAATGCTACATACTGCTAATGCTAAATACTGCTAATGCTACATACTGCTGATGCTACATACTGCTAATGCTACATACTGCTAATGCTACATACTGCTAATGCTACATACTGCTAATGCTACATACTGCTAATGCTACATACTGCTAATGCTACATACTGCTAATGCTACATACTGCTAATGCTACATACTGCTAATGCTACATACTGCTAATGCTAAATACTGCTAATGCTACATACTGCTAATGCTACATACTGCTAATAAAGTTAAGGCACACCGTGTAACTCTTGGCCACTAGGGGCGCTAGACCTGCAACTTTCACGTTTAGCGCCCCTAGTGGCCACAAGCAACTCAGCACTGTCGCAAAAGTCAACAGTCAGCCGGTGTCTTTTGAGTGTGTATTCAGACAGCATGCACTGGTGTGTGTGTTCAAACTGTAGAGACATGCCTACAGATATTGAGAGACTCTGCTGTGGTCAGCCTCCAGACCGCTGCATTAGTAATCTACCACACATGGACTTCTATATCCTGGATGAGGGAGTTCTGCGTCTAGCTCGTGCTGCGTGGAATGACATCTTTGCGGTCGATGACATCCAGGAACCAGGTGAAGAGCAGCGCTCATACAGACATGCAGCTTACAGCACGATCCCTTTCGCGTTTCCTCTTTTTAGCCTCCTCCGAAGGTTTAAAATTTTTCCTTGCCTCAGCCATGACCAGGAGTCGAGCAGGTGAAAAATGAGTAGCAAAAGCCTTAGCTCCATGAGTATATCAGCGCCTGTAGCCGTAAAGCAAGTCTTTCTTCCAAGTCACGTGACCTGGTGGCAGACGGTCCGTCTGCTCGAAACTTACATGGGCGGTATTTCAAGAGGGCAGCCCCGCTCGGAGCATTGCAAGTGTCAAGCGCTGTATATTGGCCCAAGTATTCATATAAAATAACTCATATGTGTCAACTCTTTAGGTCACAAAGTCCGCGGTGTGCCTTTAAAGATGTATTTGAAAAGAGCATTATTTAATAACGCCTTTTGAAATATGGGGCCATTTAACAATGACTTGACATGTAAATATTACATACTGCTACTTTAATGACATTGATAAAGTATATATTATATATATATAAACCAGTTACTTACTTTGCTCCTGGCTTGTTTTTAAAGGCCTAGATTGTGTTGAGAGTCCACCAAATCTGCAATACCCACATTTATACAATGACCCAACGGATTTCCCATCTTTTTACACGGGGGATTCTCTTAAGGCTAAAAGTCTGGACGGATATAAATGGACACAAACCAATGTCCAGCTTTGGCATTTGCCAACAAAAAGCTGTTTTGTGGTGACTGGAAGAGTAAGTGCACACAGTGCGCTGTAAACGCTTGCATGCTAACCACCCGTTTCTGCGCTAAGCTAATACAAAAGTCAACAGCTACTGTAAATGTTGTTACGGGTAAATCATTCATAAAGTCTCAGTAGCCCTTCACTGAAGCCATGGGCAGTCGTCAGATGTGACGGTGCAGGGCTAGGAGCCCACTGTAATTGTACAGAGTGTTGTTCCCATGTAGCCGCTGTTTTGTCTACCTTGTGGCAGCACAATCAAGAAAGGGGAAAAAAGGAAGAATCCTCTGTAACATCCAAAAAGTGCAGATGGGACAGACGGAGTGAGACATCTGTGAAGAAGGTTTAGGACATGCGGAGAAATGACTTGTGTTCAACAACTCCCAAAAGCTGAAAAAACAGAGTTTGTCTGAATCAACGACTTCTGCAACCAGAGCTAAATATATACATACAGCATGAGAAATGTACGCTTTTCCTCGCCGATTTGTGCATCCGGGTGCACAACAAGAATCAACCATTTTAGTTTGATTGGCTATTTACTGCGCTAACTACTGCGAGCTAGTGTGAAGTCACCGCCATCTTGCCTGCCGTCACTGTTTGCAGCAGTAAATTCCTAAACCAACAACGGCGCTGCCCTTTAGCAACGCACTCTGTGTGTAAAATACTCAGATTACTCTGGACAGTAGTCCGTACACTTCGTCACAACGGGCTTTCAGCGCCTGTCACTTGTTACCTCTGTCTGAGCAGAGGAGCTATCGTAGCTAGCCACTCTCAATAACACAAATATCAATAACACATTTATATGCTAATGGGAGAATACATTATAAATATTTATTATACGGCTCCTCACAGCAGCAGTAGAATGCTCCATTGATTTGAATGTAATTTCAAAACGTTCTACCGGTCATTATTTTCTATAACGGACCTCTCAAAACAATAATGACCGCTGCCCATGGCAACGCACTCTCTGCTTGTCTTTCAAATGCGTGGATAACTCCGCAAGTAGTTCCGGCCACTCCGGAGCTAGCCACGCTGAATCAACACACTTAAATGTTAATCGGAGAATACTTATACATATACATTCTTCACACACGTGCACGGAAATTTTCAGAATTTTCTGGTCTTGTCTTCATGACAAAAATACTATTTCTCTGCGTCAAAAAGCGATCGTGAAAAACCCGGAAGTAGTTCTGGCCGCTCAATAAACGCAAATGCCAATCAATCAACGCAATGAAATGTTAATCGGAGAGTAATTTATACATATCCAGTCTTAATACAAGTGCACGGAAGTTTTCAGAATTTTCCGTTTACGTTTTCATGACAAAAACACTGATGTAATGCGAGAAAAGGCGATCCCGAAAAACCCGGAAGTAGATACCGGCACATTTTAAGATACCGGCACATTTTAAGATACCGGCACATTTTCGGACACATTTGCAGAGGATCGAATTATGGATTTAGGTTAGGTTTATGTATGGGTCACTCACTGCTGATGTTCAGAATTCTTTGTTCAGTTTTCATGCAGTTCCAGAGAGTTCTAGTTTGGAAGTTGCCAGCCTAACTGTTGCCCGCGGTTGCCGAGCAACGGGAAAACTTTTTGGGACTACTTTATTTGTTGTCATTAAATAAACTTTTGGCATTCATAAAAGTGATCTGAAGTTTATTTTGTGTGTTAAGTTGGTACAAAGCAGTATAATAAGCGGGATAATGTATAGCCTACAGGTCATTATCGGAAAATAAGTACCAACAGGGCGAAGCGGACCCCGACGCGCAGCGGAGGGGTCTGCTTCCGCCCTGAAGGCTATACATTATCCCTTACACATTCTTAACAAACGTGCACAGAGATTTTCACAATGATCTGTTCACGTTTTTGTTTTTTTTAAACGATCCAGAAGTAACCGTAAGCGAACCTGAAAGTAACAACATTAGGAGAACATTTTAGAACATTTGCAGAGGATCTGATGGATTTAGGTTGAGTTTATTTTTGTGTCACTCACCGCTGATGGTCAGAATTCTTTGTTCACTTTTCATGTAGTTCCGGAGAGTTCCAGTTATTTAGCTAGCCTAACTTGCTAGCCTAGCTGTTAGCTGTTACCCGTCCAGCACATGGTCACGTCACGGCGAAACCTTTGGGAACTAACTATTTTATAAATATCATTTAAAAAAGACAATGCCCATTACAGGTGCGGATATTAAGGGCTGTCTAATATTTGTTAGAATATATATAATATGTAAGGGATAACCTATATTACGCAGGTCATTATCGGAAAATAAGTACCGACAGGGCGAAGCGGACCCCGACGTGTAGCCAAAGGGCAGTGGTCATTATTGTTTTGAGAGGTCCGTTATAGAAAATAATGAGCGGTAGAACGTTTTGAAATTACATTCAAATCAATGGAGCGTTTTACTGCTGCTGTGAGGAGCGTGTGATAAATATATTTAATGTTTGAATTATATACGAGCGTGATGATTGACAGCCTCGGCATCCGTTGATTGGTTAAAGGTTAATTAATTTAATCTTGAAGAAGGGAAGGCGGGACTTAATATTAGAATTCATAAAATTACTTATTTTATATCAACATTTAAGGCCAGGAGGTCAATTTAACACAATGTGTGTTAAAATGTGTTCATTTAGAGTTCCAGACTATCCCTTTAATAAAGCATGTGTGTGTGTGTGTGTGTGTGTGTGTCTGTGTGTTTGTGTGTGTTTGCATGTGTGTGTGTGTGCGCGTGTGTGTGATTGACAGGGTAAAGGCTACATGAAGACGTACTGGCTCAAAGGGAAGAAGGACCTCTCCTTTAAGACTCCTGCAGAACTGCGCTACAGCGGAGAGCAGAAGGACGCAGAGGAACTCAGCTCCATTGGGTGAGTCCCATATGAGTTTAGACCAACAGAGACCTGAGAGAGACCTGATAGAGACCTGAGAGAGACCTGAGAGAGACCTGATAGATACCTGATAGAGACCTGAGAGAGACCCGATAGAAACCTGATAAAGACCTGATTGAGACCTGAGAGAGACCTGATTGAGACCTGATTGAGACCTGATTGAGACCTGATTGAGACCTGATGGAGACCTGATGGAGACCTGATAGAGACTTGAGGGAGACCTGATGGAGACCTGATAGAGACCTGGTGGAGACCTGATGGAGACCCAACAGAAACCCAACAGGGACGCAACAGAGACCTGATAGAGGCCCAACAGGGACACAACAGAGACCCCAGAGGCCAGTCCCTGTGCTCCTCAGAGTTGGATTATATGGCACTAACATGTCACAGATTTACTTTGGTGCGAGGTCGTGGAGAGACTCTGACACGAGCAGCTGCTTTAAAGTGGTCGAGCCCCTCTGTGCACGTGCATGAGAGCCACACACTCATATTTGGCACAAAGCATCATGGGAGTATCCACTGCGCAGAGATGAGCAAATATGGGAGAGTTCCGCTAATCTTTCAGTCCCTGTGTAGGTCCGTTGATTTGAATAGGACGCCATCTTGGATCACAGGGGCTTGGACTATTCTCTGAGCCGCAGAGAACTTCCTGATTTGAGTCAGGACTCGAGCTGCAGTGTTTAAAAACCCAAACAGATGCTCCTGACTCCTGTGTGGACTAATGTCGCCCCCTGGTGGTGGTAGACTGCAGTGGTTATTGTGCACACTGTCCCAGGGCATTTAGGTTTTGGAAATTATAAGACAGAATAGGACAAGCACTTTACTTTCACTGATTGTTAGTGGTTGTGTGAAGTCATTTATTCGGAAATGAATGTGTTTTCTATTTTACATCATAACATAATTGAGCTCACGCTACAGATGTTTTATATTATTATACACAAGCTTCAGCTAATGACCTATGAACTCAGGCATTGAGACCATAAATAATCACAGTGCATTAAAACGACTGAAGAAGCACAGGCCCTCGAGCAGGACGATAATTTTCCAACCACTTGAACTCCCAGAGCCGTCATTTTGACTGCTTGTTAGACATCGTCACACACCTCTGTAGCTCCGGCTTCAGCAGAACAAGTCTCCAACCTGTAGTCGTTAATCGCGGTCCTCAGACTGAAGTTTCTCTGGTTAAATGTGAGCTGTCAACAACCGGCCGTGGTCTGGAGGCTCTCCACCGTCAGCTCTCACACACTCTGCTCTGCCGGCCCCCTTCCCATCAACCAGAGGGCCCTCACTGACCCTCCAGCCCCCATCACCCTCAAGCCCCCATCGCACTCAGCCAACACGGTTTGTTTCTGACAACTGATGTTCACAGGCTCCGCAGACGAGAGAGACTTAAGGAGAGAGAGAGAGAGAGAAAGTACAAAACCATCCAACTATCACGCATAACAAAGATCTCCAAGATGGCCACCCACTCAAACCCATGGCCTGTGCCCGTAGCATGATTAGCATAGTTAGCTGTTTTGTTGCTAAAGTTGCTAAATAATGTATGTGCTGAGGATACAATTCTATTCAATGTATTTGTGTGTCTTAATGACAACAGAAAAAGTCTCGGAGGACTTTACAAATTTGTCGATTCGTCAACAACTGATCAGAGAATCAACCCGGAAAAAAAGTGAGAAATCTCGTCAGGGCCCACATTGAAAGAGGGATCCAGGACTGAGACTGTAGATCCAGGACTGAGGCTGTAGATCCAGGACTGAGGCTGTAGATGCAGGACTGAGGCTGTAGATCCAGGACTGAGGCTGTAGATCCAGGACTGAGGCTGTAGATCCAGGACTGAGGCTGTAGATCCAGGACTGAGGCTGTAGATCCAGGACTGAGACTGTAGATCCAGGACTGAGGCTGTAGATCCAGGACTGAGGCTGTAGATGCAGGACTGAGGCTGTAGATCCAGGACTGAGGCTGTAGATGCAGGACTGAGGCTGTAGATCCAGGACTGAGACTGTACATCCAGGACTGAGGCTGTAGACCCAGGACTGAGGCTGTAGACCCAGGACTGAGACTGTAGATCCAGGACTCTGTTGGTTGCTTGTTGTATCTGTGTGTTGTCAGTGATGGAGAGCAAAGCCATTGGTGATGACACAGAATGTATTTGAGTTTTATGCCAAATTTTATCACAGTGAGATTAAAGTGTGTGGTAGGAATTGTAGTTTTCTCTTTACTTAACGTTACTTTACTTCTTAATCATCATAAAGTACTTTAATATTGTACTTCATATTAATACGATCAGACGGATGGAGGGCTGCATGTAACTTATTCATAAATCCCTTCAGCCAATCAGCATTCACTTTTTCGAATATTAAATAGTTATTGTCGACCTTACATAAGTCTGGAAACTGTTTTAAGATTCCAAATTCAGAGATCCGGTCCCACAGTGGGGAAATGCCAGTGTTGCATCGCCATGAGGAGAATCATCAACATCTAACTCGCTAATCTACAAGCTAACTAATGCTAAAGAATAGAGTCAGTATAATCTATTTAAATTGTGTTCTTTTGGGAGAGAGTCTGAAAGTTTGGACGTCCTTCTCCGTTTCGAGCTGACACATTGTAAATACAGCGACAGACGGTGAAACTACGGCAGACACTGTTTCTGTGTATATTAATGTGCAAATATATATCTGCATGTGTTTGTGAATATACTGCAGAAGGCAACACAAGAACGGCCAAAAGTATCTCCATAAAACTAAGGATAGTGTCATTTCTGCTCCGATTAATATCAAAAAAATGTATTTATTTATGAAGCACAGTTTGTACAGTGGAACTCAAGGTGCTTCACAATCAAATAGAAACAGAAAATACAACATTACGGAGCAAAAACCTATGAAACATTCAGTATTTAGAGGTAGAAGTTTAATTAAAAAGATAAAATTTAACCTCGAAACTGACACTTTCTCGTCTGGGTTAAGGCTAAAGTTAGAATGTGTAATTTAATGTCATTATTTAGCTGCGTTTTGACCTGGACTCCCTTTAAAAAGAGATTAAATAACGGTTAAATGGAAAAATAGGCTTTGGGTACACTGTAAAAAATGATAAAAAAGAGGGGATAAATGCTTGAATCAAGAGTTTTTACCTTAATCTGACACATTGTGACTGTGTTAAAACTAGATTCTTCAACGGGACAATGTCATTTAGTCTGAATTCAAGACCGTGAGCGCAAATAACCACAACGCTGCAAAAAGGGCTGAAAAATAAGTCAAGAATGACTTTAAATTTGGCAAAATGTGTCTTAATCTGAGGTTTGTGACTGGTTTAAAACTAGATTCTCCAACGAGACAAAACCATTTAGTCTGAACTCAAGAACTGTTGCTTTCTTTTCTCATTCCAGGGGAGATCATTTTGGTGTGTCCTGTTGGAGAATCTTGTTTTAAGTCTCAGTCACAATGTGCTCAGATTAACTCATTGATTGCCAGCCGTTTTTGACGATATAACTGATTTTCAAGACCCACAGAATATTATGTGCTAAGACTATGTGAAAAAATAAACCAGATTCTGAAAAACCGGATTGTCTAATTTCATCAGAAAAAAATTATTTTTGCAAAGCCACACTGGGAGACACACCAACCATTCAAGCTAGTTTTGTTCTCATGTAATCCCCAGTCGAATAGAGGGAAGTTTGACAGAAAGATGGGACGGAGATTTCTTTCAGCAGGACACTGATCCAAAACATAACGCCAAATCTAACAATGGAATGGTTCACAAATAGACGTATCAGGTGTTAGACTGCCCCAGTCAAAGTCCAGACCTGAATCCAATCGAGTATCTGTGGAAAGAGCTGAGCTGCTGTTCACAACGCTCTCCATCCAAACCTCACTGAGCTGAGACTGTTTTGCAAGGAAGAATGGGAAAGAATTCCAGTCTCTCGATGTGCAAATGATAGAGACATACCCACGCGTCTGGCAGCTGTAATTGCAGCAAAAGGTGGCGATACAAAGTATTAGCGCAAGGGGGCCGAATAATCTTGCACGGCCACTTTTAGTTTTTATTGTGAAGTTTAAATTATCCAATACATTTCGTTCATTCCGATTTGTGACCCACTTGTGATTATTGACCAAAACATTAAAATTATCTTTATGTTTGAAGCCTTGAGATGTGGCAAATGTTGAAAGGTTAAGGGGGCGAATACTTTCGACGGACTGTATATTGGACGAGGCTGGAATCTCGATCTGATTGATCTGAGAGCAGGCGCTGAGCATGTGTTTGTACATCGCTGTAGTGGTACAGCATGACACAACACAATCGTCACTGGAATTTTATTTATAACGCCCGTTTAATACTGAGGTGCAACACAAAGTGCTAAAAAGTTGGTTAAAAACAATGGGCATTATTCACGAACGGTTCTACGAACAAATTTTGTGGTACGTCTATTACGAGGATTTTACGCCGATTGTGGCAGTCATGAAATTTTCTCGTAACCAGGAATTTCTTTGGGTAAGTACAAATCATACGAGTCCTCCGGGAGACTCTTTTACGCACATTCAGTGCGACATGTTCACACGCTGATGTTATGACGGTCAATCAAACACAACATTTACAGTGATATGTTTGTCCCATTGATGAATTTATTTATTTATTTCATGGTTAATGGTAATTTTGTCATTTTTTTAAATTCATTTGTAAAACTTAATGTGCCAACACTTTATCAACTACAATAGGAAATCATTGCGTGTGACCCCCACTATTTCTAGGAGACATATCTCCATCCAGGGTCACAACACAATGGCAATGTACTGTGCTGAAGGAGGACCGCATGGTCTCTCCATATGAGTTCGGTCTCTCCTCGGTCCGCGTGGTCTCAGTCTATGGGTCTTCTCGGTCCAGCTGGTCTCAGGTCTATGCGGTCTCTCCTCGGTCGCGTGGTCTCAGTTCTATGCGGTCTCTCCTCGGTCGCGTGGTCTCAGGTCTTGCGGTCTATCCTCGGCCGCGATGGTCTCAGTTATGCGGTTCTCATGTCGCTTGGTCTAGTCTATGCGGTTCTCTCGGTCGCGTGGTCTCGGTCTATGCTGGTCTTCCTCGGGTCGCGCTGGTCACGGTTATGCGGTCTCTCTTGGTCGCGCGTGGTTCTTCCAGTCTCTTGGGTCTACTTGGTCTCAGCGCTTGATTTCTCCAGGGTCAAAACTTTTGAGATCATTTTTGAAATTACAACATTATATTTTTTTAAATTAATCGTTATAACATTTGACATTAATTCATAATTTTTATTGATTGATTTTAATATTTGGCTCGTTCGACTTTATTTCTCATAATATTTCGACTTTAAAGTCACATTTTATGACTTATTATCGGTCTGACAAAGAAGGAAACAGGGTGACTCTTTTGCTCTGTGTTACTCTGCTCTACTTGCTGTTTCCTCTGGCGTCTGCAGGGCCGTGTGCCAGGGCTTTTATGGTCTTTAGTGGGCGGTTAATATGCTAGTTACCTATGCTATGACAGCACCGGACCGCGCGCTCTACATACCGAGGAAATGGCATTCCTCAAGCTAAGGAGAACAATGGGAACAATTCTGCGGATTACGAGCGCGTTGATGAATCCACGTAGGGTCTTCTTCAAAATCTACTTAAAGAACGATTGAGAAGAAAATGTACGAAGTTTTCTCTTTAAAGATATTGGTGAATGAGGCCAATGCTCCAGGCAGAGGGCTCCAGTAGAGGAAAACACTGGGGATACTGAAAACAATTACTATAACCAGTAAACATGTATAACTTGAGACTACAGGTCACGATAGCATATTAATAAATGTATAAAACAACAATAAAATTAACTAAAATGTATCCAAAAAAAATAGACTATGGAACATGCCATAATTAATCCATAACATGCGTGTCTTGAGCCTGATTTTAACTTTCATCATGACAGAATTTCGTAGTGGCAGAATGTGCAACAAGAGCATTCCGGATGTTCTGGACCGGTTCTGAGCTTAAAGGGGCCCATATTACACTTTCTGACTTTTCTCTTGTTTTAAACATGATTACAGCTGTTTGGCTTCATGCCCAGAGTAGTTTTTTTCATTGATTCCCGAGAGAAACAGAATGAGTGAATTCAAAACGTGAATGCACCGAATTGTAAATAGGTCTTTGCACTTTGTAGAAAAATATATTCGAAATTCGTTTGTTTAGTAATTTCAAATATTCAAATATATTTGCATATTTCATTATAATTTATTAAACCAGCTCCTAACATTATTCAGGCAGTTAAACAGGATTTCAGCGGAGCCTGTCTGTGGTATATATCCAAGGTCGTGCAGAGAGGCTAACTGCGGCTACTTCCTCTTAGCTGCGAAATCATTAACATGAAACGAA